AGCCCAGAACACTCTTGAAAATCTCCGTATACTGCGTTCAGTCAATATTTTTCTTTGACCAAGCAAGAATCAGGGCCGTCGCCTAAGTTCAGTTGTTCAAGCTATAAGATGCGTCTAGCCCAGAACACTCTAGAAAATCTCCTTGATGTCTTTTATTATCGTTTACATATCGTAATCTACCCACTCAAACGAAATTTCGTTCTATCTTTAAAACACAGAAGCACACGTCAATTGCGGAGCTGATGGAATGGCAGCATTTGCCATCACCTGTCAATGATACAGAACAAGAGGTACTTGTGAACGTTTTCCTTTAAGTCACGGAACAATACCGCTTCCATTTTTCCAAAAAAACTTTGTCGGTCGGAGATCTGAAATGTGAGAGCGAGTAACGCGCTGCAAAATGTAATGTATTCAATGCCGAACAACTAGTTTCCTCTTAGATTGGAATATGAAGCAAACCCTTTGAGTTAGGAATGTAATTTTTCGTATTTTACATAAAAGCGCAAAAATTCCATTTAGTCTCCGATCGCCCATTTCAGATATCCGACCGACAACGTTTTTTGGAAAAAGGTGTATATCCGAAAACAGGGAGCCCACAGAAAATATTAGCCATAGTAGTAAGCTATTTGAATGTTTTTATAGGATGGTTCTCTGTCAAATGCAGGGGATCTCATTACCTTCATGTTTCGCAGTGAAACAAATCCTGGTAACTCTATCAATCTGTCATCCACATATGACAATCAAGTCACTTAAGATGTGCCTGACGCGAGGTATGGAAACAACAATTTATTTCAATTGAATGTTGCCTAACCCTGAGTATTGACACCTGGTCATAAAATTGCCCAGGATCACACTATCGGACTATAAAAGCATACTGAAGATATTTGATCCACCCACTCAGGGCTTTCAGCCTATGGAGCCGATCGTAAGTGCACCCAGGAGTTTAAGACTACCCGAGTATACAGTTCACCCCAGGTTTATTTTCCTCGCCCATTTATAAACTCACACAAAATCCCTGGATCTACCCGATGATAAAACTCAGCGTTTTTAGTCCACCCGGTACCCAGTACCCCCAGACTTTGGTCTACCCAGTGCACCCCACGTTGTCACTTTGAATACCCAGATATCAACCCACCTTGCACTTACCACGGCTAACCCCGGTTTCATATTCGAAGCCCACTCAATGCATCCCCATTCCTCCGTGAACAAAGAAGGCAGTCTTAGAGCACGTTTCAGCACACTTTACCACACGTTTTGCCTCAAACGTTTAATCTTAATAGACTGTGTTAAAAAGACATTGATTTGAATCACTCGTAGATAAGAGTTAGTGAAAAACAAAGGAAAGCCATTTCGATGGTCGCCACATTCATCTACCGGAAAACCATTACAGTGCTTTACAAAACAATTTGAGTGTTTGCTGCCTAACATGACACATGACCTAATGTAGTTTCGCGTAAATGAAATGTTTCCTGTTCAAATCACACCAATAATCCTCAAAAGTAAGGGAAACTGTCTTATTTTGGCTTTTTCTTGCCCACAGAATCGATGAGCTTGAGGGGTCATTATTTCAGAGTAGAAAACGACTCTCCCTCCCCTACAACGAGTGCCATGCTGGCTGAAATACAATTCATACAAATTTATTGTAATTCTAAATTCAAACCAGTAAAATTATCAACTTTTATTTCAAACCAGTAAATTTACCTCTATGTGATAAACGCCGGTATCAGGCAGTTTAATTAAAATAAAAAATAAAATCTAAATGTAATATTTTTGTAATAATTTTAGGGTGTTTATTGAAAATGTAAACAGCTGGTCTTAAAAACATATTTAAAAAAAATAAAAACTGAATATTGCTTATTATTTTCATTGACTTTTGAATCACATTTTTCAATATAATTTCTTTTTACTTCAGTTCATTCAATTTTTTTTTCCCTGTATAAGATCTTTGTTTTTTTTCATACTTTTCATCTTCAAACTATCAATCTCATAAACATAATGTCAGTGAATAAATACTTCGAGATAAATCAACTTAAAGATAATATCCCATCATTATAAAAAGATCCTTTTCGCAGCCTCTTTCAATTCCGCCATTCAGTTGTGGTACAGCCTGCTTAGTACACGAAACATTTAGTCAGGTTCCCTAAGTTCTTCAGCGTTGGTGTGCCAGTTCCTCTTACGTAAGATTTGGCAAATTTGTATGCAGACTTTTGTTGCTCAATTCTCATATTCATGACTTTATGAAGAAATTGTTACTTAATCGTTCAATAGCAAGTCAATTGTGACAAGAATACTTCCAATGCACGATTATTCACGCCCACAAAATCGTAAATTCCACACGAAGTTTCCTACGTTATTTCATCAAAACTTGAAAACAAATTTTCAATGATTTTCATTCAAAACTTTGCGACAGAGCTCCCAGTGAGATATATCTATTTTAATTTTTGAAATTCAAAACTCGAGAAAGATGGAAAAATTTTTATTCAAAACTGTGCAACAGAGCTCACAAGGAGAGATGTATTTTCATATTCAAAATTATAATCTTTGTTTATATAAGGTGCTTCCTGGGAATGAATAGAAACAAAGTGCCGCATGCTAGCAAAAAACATGTTTAAATTCCCATTACTTTCTCGCTTCCACTTTAGAATACATTGTAAACTCGCTCATGCTGGGTCAGAATATCGCCCTAAACATTAACAGTACATAARATGTCAAAAACTAACACAATAAATTCAAAAACTCATTGGATTTTTTAATTTTCCATTTTAGGTTTTTTTTCTTTGATATTTTTCCACTTTCATCAAAGCTGTTTTTCAAGCACCTTTTTTAATTAAAGGGTTACTTTTCCACGTGATACCCTACAGTTTATGTTTTCATTCATGATATTTAGATTTTTTATTTTTTCATTTGAATGAGCCGTCTATCCTCAATTACTTTATCTATAATCCCTGCCAATGAAATTAATTTTTACAATGGATAGTTCATACTTTTCAAATCAAATGAGTCATCCATAGCGTAGCTTGGGATATCAATCAACGATGGCAACTACATACAGAGCAGATGTTCTGAAAATAGGTTTTTCTTCACGACAGGCGGCCCGACATCTGAAATCTATTTCTTTCCTATCTCGCAAATACAGTATTTTACTCACCCCCACATTTGGTTATTAAGTTTGTGTTAAGTCTGTAGCTCTTCGCTTTGATAAACACCAGAACACACACAAGTGAATTCATAAGAAAAGACTACCAAAAATAATGAAACAATCACAGCCCCCACAAAACTTGGACGTTAGTGCTTCTCCTACTCAATCAACATAAGAATGGCACGATTCAAGCTAGTTATATACATCTTCTTCAAGCTTCTCTTCGTTTAATGAGTATCTCTTGGTAACTACATGTAACATCTTCGAGCGATTTTAACACTCGCTTCAAAACTGCTCGCTACGTTTTTGAAAAGTGTGGCGCTTTTGCAAGGATCTGAATTAGGTGTCAGCTATCTCAATCCTAATCCAATGCTATCTGGATTTTTCGCTGCGGTTTGAAAACGTTAATGAAAATCTTCATTTGGAATAACTTTTCTAGGATCCTGAACCCCATCGCGTCTTATCCAAAGCCTTCTTCATATGATACATGCTTGATATCAACGCGTCCGTTGCTTGGAGTAGGGGATTTTCATAGGAACGACTTTCAGGAGTCTAAGTTCTCGTTTATCTGCAATAAGTCGACTAGAATATTCTTTATTCAAGTGGATAGCTGTTATCTCGTACATGGATATTGAGTTGCGATCTTTATTTCCGTATTTTTGCACCGGAGAAAATCATTGCATTACATCGGCGGCACGTCAAATGGTGTCTGCTCGATARAAGTTAATTTAGAAGTTTATCAACGAACTTGTCCACTTGTATCGATCTTTCTGCTCGCTGCACACAGAGAAACTGATGAATGAGACTCTGAACTTAACAGAAACCAATGCAAAGCTGGTTTCAAGTCGTTTTCTTCCATTTGCAATAATATCCTTTATCCTGGCGACAGGAGCGGCTATAGGCAATCTAATGCTAGTGACAGCAATCTACAAGAACCCTTTCCGCAATCTGCGCACCAATTCTTCACTGTTAGTTACCAATCTAGCTCTTTGTGACTTCATTGTTGGAGCGGTAGGCGGGTATGGTATGTTTTCGTACGAGCTCTTTCTTTATTATGGTTCTTTTCTGAGTGAGAATGTTGTTAATGGGATCGCTGCTACAAGTGGTCTAGCGGTTGTATGTGGGGTAGGCACTGTTGTCGTAATGGCTTTCGACCGCTATCTGGCTGTCAAGTCACCATTTTCGTACACGTCTAAAGTAACAAAATATCGCATAAAAGGAGTTCTGATCGTCATCTGGACCTACACGTTCGTAATCAATACAATATTCTTCGTTGCAATACCCAAAAACTTGGGCTGCTTTCTTTCGAGTCATCTTCACATCACTATACCAGCCTGTATCCTCAGCTTAACATACATCAAGATGCTACAACAAGTACAAAAACAAAACAAACAGTGGAAGACTAACCCAAGAAGAGTTAACGTTGCCAGACAGTTATCGATTCGAAACATCATTGAACGAGAGCGCAAACTCACATCAGCAATAAAGCTTCTCATGGCATTTTTTCTGCTCAGTTTTCTTCCCGTCTACATTACCATGAATATTCAGTACTTTTGGAAGCATCGTACCAGGTTGACATGGCTTCGAACGTTCTTAGAAGTATCATTACTCATAGTGATATCCAACTCGTTTATCAATCCTATCATATATGCTTTAAGGGTTCCTAAATACCGCAAGGCCTTCAGACACGCAATGGGGTTACGAGATAATATTGTGAACATCATGATGTCTGCTGTAGGGCCTATTTGAGAACAATGAATGCTTTCCAAACCTGGTTGGTATCTGAGTTTTTCTTAAAAACCTGCGTTATGTCTTCATTCATACACCGAAGTGAATCGAAACATGGTGACCAATTTGAAACAGTAGGCAGATTAAGATTCCCATTTTTCCTTCCCGAAAACGGCAAACGTGACCACGTTTTCATCGTTTCCCTACATTTCACTTTACCTTTTGCAAACCTTCTCGACAAAGACAAGTATTCTTTTGTTTACCTACTACTTGGAGATTTTTTCGATTCCTTTTCACTAATTTTAAAGAATTTTTTAATGGTCAACTGACGTTTCACGTTTGCCGTAAATGAGAGTCTTAAACTCTCTAGTAACTATTGTTCTTGACTGACTAGCGACTCGACTCGGACTAGCTTCGTGTTCACATGAAAACATAAAAGAATATTCACGCCAGTTCAAGAGAGGCTAGTGAGTTTTGCCCTGCTTTCCACACACACTGTTTTACGCTCAATCAAGGTTGTAAGGTAGTTTATTTAATACTTTGTCAGTGTTTGACCGTAGGTCTTATGTATGCAAAGTGTTAAACGTTTTCTTTCCATCTTGCTCTCAGCTTTTCAGTGTTAGTGTTATTTGTACTGGAAATAGAATAAACAAAATAAAATATTGGCATTTTTTAAAGAAATGAAGTTCGATCATGGCTCTTAAGTCTTGTTCACACTTACTTAGGCATCGTAATCTTGGTCGCAAGTTACGCTCTAAGTAAATCAATGCGACGCAAGCAGAATCTTAAGCCTCGCTTCCTTGTTATTTTCCGCCAGCTTCGAAATATTTATCATCATGATGATCGTGACGAGCTTAGTGATTGTTCAGTCCTTACGATTACGGTTACGTTTTCTTGGTGCACACCCGATCGCAAAGTGACTGTGATCGTAACTGTAGTCGTAAGGAAACAAAACCTGATCCTAGCTTATGATTACGACGCTGCTACGATGCACCTTATACGACTGCGCTCAAAGCTACAATTTTTGATTCAGGCTGAGTTTTAACTCTGCTTTACGATTGCGATTGCGATTACAACGCTAGTGTAAACAAGGCTTTATTGAATTTGGCTCGTATCACATTACGCGACACACCCTGAAGACACCCCTATGTAACCCTAATTATCCTAGCACACACACTACCTCAACACACACCCAAAGAACTCAGTCTAATATATACTGTTGATTCCATTCTTTTGGATTGAGAGGCGGTGGAGCAATTCCAAAAGTGAATTTTTCCTGTGACACGACATTCTCGGTTCCACATGTAGACATCCTTCCTTCCCGTTAACAGTGTACTTGCAACATTTTACAACTGCATTTTCTGTCGAAAGATCCAAACTAGACCCCTAATTGAAATTTACTTCGATTAACAATTTTTCTAGGTTTTTCTTTTCTAAGCTTTTCTTGTCTAATTTGTCCACGTATGCCTAATGGACTACTTCGACTATACAGCCGCCATCTTGGATCGCAAGGCACTATGGAACGTCCAGGGAGCAAATATGACGTCAATTGATATTAACAGCTCACCACAAGAGATTTCAACAAAAGGTGAATTAAGACAGCACATCGATCAGCTTTATCCATAAAAGAAGAAAAAACACGAAAATCTTCATCTTTGCTTTGTTTTGCCCCCTGGCAAGTTGGCCGCCGTATCGTCGAAGTAGTCCATTATATTGCGTGTCACAAAATACATATCTTGTCTACGTTGTCCATGCATGACGTCTAATTAAATCGTGGTCTTAAAGTCTTAAAATGCAAAGAACATTAATCCTAAGTGGCGTTTTCCGCTGTTTATGGGATTGGGTAATACATGTCTTGTTTAAGTTGTCCCGGCCATGCATGACGTCTAATTACATCTTGTTCTTAAAATGCGAAGAGCATTAATCCTAAGTTGGGTGTCTCCGCTATCTATGGGATTGAGTAATAATGCCGAGCGCCGCACACGTACGACATCCCACGGGAACATCGTAAGTGTATAGCCAATTTCTTGACCAATATTTTACAAATTTAATTTCTTTTTGCGTAATGAATAATTTTGAAATATATGGTTTGAGTGTTGATCTAATGTTGTGCTGTTTCGCTATTATCATAACTTCATTTCGACGCATACTAAAATTGATTGAAATCCCCCAGTCCTTAAAACTAGAGTATCCCATATATCTCTTGCCCGTATATTTTGCTCAAATGCGCTTGGTGGCGTTGCCCCTAGATATTTTTCGCCTTCACATTATATCATCGCGGCTATGTTGGTGGTATTAAACAAAAGTTCACTCTCAAATAAAGATATCCAAATCAGAACAGAGTCRTACGATTAAATTTAACACTTCTTATAAAAGAACTGTCATAAGTTTCGCTTTTTGATTGGTTGGGCAGGGGCGCTAGCGTTGTGAGAGCACACAGCACACAAAAAACTGGGTCGAGTTAGCATCGCAGTGCGTTGTGGGACTGTTTTAGGTGACATATTTCCAAGTTGGCGTCCACTGATTTCGTCCTCTAAAACAGTCCCACAATGTACTGCTATGCCTAATTAACCTCGTGAAAGGTATGATGTTTTTAACTAAGCTAGGCCACAATGCACAGGAGCACAAGACATGTATATTAGGTGATGCGTGGTCATAAAAGGCAAATTTCCTACTGTGTCTCGCATTTAGGCGTTGGAGTCTTTATAAAAACTATTTATCCCAACTTTCCCATTCATTCACACCAAGGCCGATGAAAAAAAATTGGTGAGGAAAATCCTCAATTTTTATTGAGACCCTGAACTGAAACAACCTGCCTCTGATCTTATCTACGTGAGGGCACGGTTTGGGAACGGCGCCTAATTCACATATCGACTTGGAATTTAGCTTGCTAGGTTTTGCAGAGGGAGGAAATTTGGAGAAACTGGCAAAAACCGGCCTCCAATCAAGGGAGAGACCTAATAAACTCTACTCCCTTGTGATGGTGAGTTCCTAAAATCGCCGGAACCCGAGACAGCAGGGATCAAGGCGAGTGCGGCGCTACGCCCAGCTTTCCTGCATTAATTCTGTTACCAATTATCTATACTATGACAGACAATCTAGAAGATCTTTGCGTTTTCCATTGAACTTTTGCCTATAAATTTGAAGTCTTTTCTCTTTTCCATATGCGTTGATGTTGATCAAGTTCAGATCTCAGTGGTGGCCTTCATCCAGAAAGCGATAAATGACTTGAAAATTAAATTTTTCATGATGTTGTGAAATATCTATGGCATTTAATATCACTAGTGGTCTCAATAGGATCAAATATGACAAGTTTATTGACTGAATTATTTATAACTATATTAAGACTGAGGCGATATTTAAGTCTCATTCGTTTAGTCTGGGACTTCTTTCGGGAAGTCAACCCCAATTCATTATTTTCTCTAGTATAGCTAAACTTTGTTGTGTGAAGGCGAGGCCAAAAGAAGAGATTTAAAATATTAATATAATTTTTGACATGCGATTGAATAAACTTATGTAAAAGTTGAGGTAAAACAAAAGGAAAGATAAAAATTTTGAATCTAATTATCGCATTTCTGCCACCATGCGATTGAATAAACTCATGTAAAAGTCTGGGTCAGCCAAAAGAAAAATATAATTAATAATTTTTTGCCTTTCTGTTATGCGATTGATTAAAACTTTGAGACAAAGGTTAAGAAATTTAAACGGTTTGCGTAGGGTGTTTGTTAATTAAAAAGGCCAATTATGACATTCATAGCGACCGGTGTTGACCATCACCACTCGCGTGGCGGAACCCCAGAGCATTTCACGGGCGTTTTGACTGGTATCGGACACAGGCATTTGACTTTTAACTTCCATTATAATTCTATTTTCTTATAAGTGTAGCCTTTATTCGTGGTAACACCATAGTTAATAGATTGTTAACTAATAACTATGGTAACACTTGGATTGCGATATTTTCGAAGGAAAAGCATAGGAAGCCCAATAAACAATATATTTCAAAGCACAGGGTTTCAGACTCACCTGCCAATGTATAAATTTACATTTAACACTTCAAAAGACCGCTTGTATTTTATTAGCTGTATCAATATGTTGGTGTTTGTTTTCAACCCATAGGCATAATAACACTGAAACAAAAATACCCTGTGCTTAAACTTAATATCTAATATATTGATCATATATTGAATATATATTGACGTGATCATGCAGAAAAACTTCAGTTATTGGACTGTCAAATAAACCCTCGACGAACATCAGTACCGACTCCCCTCCCCTTTCTGATATAGATATATTTGTCAGTATTAAATAGATCATAAATGCTTCCATGCATAACATCTCATTTTCTGTAAACAGATAATTTCCTATTCTTTTGAAATTTTGTTCGTTTTAAAAAATGGGTGTTTAGAAATGACAGTTTACACACATTTTTCCTGTATTAGCATTAAAAATAATAATAGTCCACATACAGCATAATCTTTTTCTTTATTGATTTGAATCTTTACTATCTTTCAAACGCCCACCTATTTGTATATTTAAATAATTTTAAAATATTTGTTTGCATTGTTAGCGGTGGCACTTGATTGGGTTTCGTGGACAATGGCAAATGGCGTGTCGCGGTTATACACATGTAATGTATAATTTGTGCATTTTGTTTGCAGCAAATTGAAGATCACAAACATAAACTGGGGGTTCAAAATCTCTCGAGTCACAAGTACACGTATTTCCTAAACACCAGAACCCTAAAAATTAACGATGTTACGTTTTCCCTGGGATGTAATCGTGTTTTTTAGTACAGCTGTCGTAGGATTTCTTCTGTATGTCGTATTCACACGTCCTCGCGAGGCTTACAAAGGTTATAAAAAAATATCAAGAACATTCAAAGATTCTAGCCTATCGATAGCTCTGGGACTTAAAGAAGACTTCCACGCCATTCAAGATAAGTTTTTCTCGGTCTTAGAAGTTTCTAAAGCCATAAAAACAGCAGGACTTGAAACAAGTAATTTAATCATTGGAGTGGACTTTACAGCGAGTAACGAATGGCAAGGGAGGAAGAGCTTCCATGGCAGATCTCTACATCATATTTTCAAGAACTCATCCAAGAAGTTAAACTCGTATCAAACTGTAATAAAAACTATAGGGAAAACCTTAGAACCTTTTGATGAAGATAATCTAATCCCAGTATATGGATTTGGAGACGTAAAGACCAAAGACCAAAGTGTGTTCAACTTCAACTCGAATGATCAGCCATGCAAGGGTTTGGATAGCGTCCTGGAAGCGTATAACGAAGTCGTACGAAAAGTTTCCCTCAGTGGACCGACAAGTTTTGCACCAATCATCGAAAAGGCTATCGAAATTGTAAGCAAAGACAGAACCTATTATATACTAGTAATAATTGCAGACGGACAGGTCGTGGAAGACCAGGACCTCAAGACTAGAGAAGCCATCGTAAAGGCATCGAACTACCCGATTTCTATCTTAGTTGTTGGAGTCGGGGATGGCCCTTGGGATCGAATGCATGAATACGACGAACTTTTATCCGAAAGAAAGTTCGATAATTTTCAGTTTATTGAGTTTAATGATATTGTTGCAAACGCTAAATACCCCGATGCTGCTTTTGCCCTCCACGCCTTAATGGAAATACCAGACCAGTACCAAGCTATCAAAAATCTAGGACTTCTGAGAGAAATTTCTGAGAACAAACAAAATGACACCTAAATTGGAATCTGTATTGAGTATTCGTGTTGGTTTGGTTGGTGTAGATAACTTATCAAGATACACATGAATAATTTATATCTTCATGTGTGTCATCGTCTCCCAGGAGATAGAAAAAAGTATACCATTCTTATCAGATGGTTTAAAATCAAAAAGAAGATTAAACAGGAATAATGAAAGCGTTTGGTAAACTAGAATGTTTATTACATGGAAAATACATGTACTCAAAACTATAAATGGAATAATTAGGCCTATTACCAATGCAGAATCCTTGGAAACAATAGGCCAGGCACTTAAAAACTGAGTGTAACTGTACATTTATATGATTCGTGAAACAATTTTCCCAAAGGGGCCAAGATTCAAGGGGGTTAAATGAGAGTTAAGATAGAGGCAAGGGGCTGGGGAGGCATAACACTTGACATTAGATTTTTGGCCTTAGTAACATTAAACTGTAAAAAAATGGACCCATAACACTTAACAAAACCCCATCTACACCCTCTAAATAACATGAATTGTGAGTGTTTCAATTTGATTACTTTTTTTGGGGTGAAAAATATTATGCAATTATAATTGGACAAGGTTGAGCAAAAAATATATTGATTTTTAATCAGTTATTTCATAATTTAATAGTGATCTAGTAGTCGTATAGACCTCTTGCATGCAATGTCAAAGCAGCTCAATTTGGATGACAAAACCAGAGAATTTCAATCCCATGAGAATTGGAAACTTATCATCATTGTTCTCCGAATTGAGCTACTGCAAGGTCTATACTTGTAGAATTGCACAAGCTCAAAATATGTTTCTTAAATATACTAGTAAGTTCTTCAGTGGAAAATCACAGGCAGCCCAATCTCGGTTTTTTCTGTATGTATATTGCTAAAACTCGATATTTATGAATCATTATTTATTAGTAATAAAATCGTTCAGTAGACTTGTCTAGAAACTTCTTGTGTCTATTTTAGTTGTGAACGACTCCTCTGTTGGGCTTCCTGTGGTATTTGAACCAGGCTCCTGGCCGTTCAAAAAGGAAGATGGCGGCAGAAAGTTGATAAAGATGGGCAAACGGTATTATTGTGATTTTTGTGATAAATCATTTGCCTACTCGCTGCAGAACCGTAAAAAACACGAGCAAGGAATTCAGCACCAACGAAATAGAAAGCTTCATTACGATTCTTTTAAAGGTGGATAAATATTGTCAGTTAATTTGAGGGGATTTGAGTCATCCTCTTTCAACTTGGGGAGTTTTGGTGTTACAATTTATACAAATATTTTGTCTCTTTCTGAACATTAGACCCTGTAGAACTGCTTGCTGAAGAAGCAAGTAAGCAGCCATGTCGTCGCTTTTTCCAGACAGGTAAAGTTTATCTTGACTGTAAGCATAAAAGTAGTATGAATTTGGACACCATTTGTCAAAGGGCTAGAGCCAGTGCTAGAGTCCAATGACAATTACCTTAGTTCTAAGCATGAGTGCTAAGTGCATGTAACTGATAACTTATAACTGACATGTATTTTTCAGGAACATGTAATTTTGGGACCAATTGCAGATACTCGCACACCAACCCACAGTTGCTACTTGCTCAAGGTAAGATGATTTTGTAAATATGAATATGCACTGTGTCTTGCCCTCACTGCACACTAGGCAGTTAGTCACCAAGTTCAATATTCATCTTGCCCATTTGGACAACTAATTATCAGTTAATTACAGATTACTTGTTAATTTATACTCTTGCATATTATTAAATTATCTCCTGTGGGATTTAGTGGCAAGTTTGAACACTGTCCACCATACATGTGTTGTCAGCCAGAAAGAATACTATTGAAAACTTATAAATTATTCTGTTGATGAACATGCTGCACAAGACTGGAAATAAATGATATCAAGTAATCAAGGATCAATTTTCTATCAGCTGAAGCTGCAAAGCAAGGAAAGGAAAAAGATGAACCATCAATAGAAGATTGGCTAACAAAGTGGAGAAAACGCAGAAAAAAGATGGAAGAAAAAGATAAAGCAAGTTTGGAAACTGAAGAAGAGAATACCCTTCCTGCTGGACTTCCCCATGTGAGTGTCTTACCCCCTTCTCTCAGACCCCCACCCCCTGGGGGCTATTCCTACCACTCTAGGGTAGAGTGGGRATAGTTTCTCAACCTACTCTGTGAGAATGGTTTTTATCTATCATCAGGCCAGTACTTGTTGGGGACTATTCTGACCTCTCTAGGGTAGGGTGGCGATAGTTACTCTACTCTATAAGAAAGGCTTTCTTCTATCTTTAGGCCAGTACTTGTCAGGGGCTATTCAAACCTCCCTAGGGTAGGGTTGGGATAGTTACTCTACTCTATGAGAAAGGTTTTTGTCTAAATCTTCAGATCAGTACTTGTTGGAAGCTATTCTGACCTCTCTAGGGTAGGGTTGGGATAGTTACTCCACTCTATGAGAAAGGTTTTTTCTATATCTTAAGGCCAGTACTTGTTAGGAGCTATTCTGAACCCTCTAGTGTAGGGTGGGGATAGTTATTCTACTCTATGAGAAAGGTTTTTGTCTATATCTTCAGGCCAGTACTTGTTAGGAGCTATCCTGACCTCTTTAGGGTAGGGTGGGGATAGCTACTCTACTCTATGAGAAAATTTTTTGTCTATATCTTCAGGCCAGTACTTGTTGCAATTGAGGGCTATTCTGACCTCTCTTGGGTAGAGTGGGGACAGTTATTTTACTCTGAGAAAGGTTTTTACCTAGAAAGGTTTTTATCGACATCAAGCTAATACTGCCACTTCTTTTGTCTCAACAATTTTAAAACAACTTTATTTTATTTCCATGCATATAGGTTTATGTACAAATAATAATTGACTAATAGTGATTAAAGAAACTAAATGAGATAAGACAATTGAGCTCTTGGACTGCAAACCAAAGCCCTATAATATGGCTTTTCTAAAATTTGTCTACCATTTTTTTAATGTACAGTGAACATTTAATGAGCATTTTTCACTGTGGTATATAAAAATTAAAATTTATTTTCCCTGAAATAGATTATTCTATTTCAGTTCCAAAATCCTTTGCTTTTAGTGTTGTTAATCATTATATTATTCCTCTCATGCATCAAGGAGATTTTTTCTTGGTTGTACAGTAAGTGATATGTTTTTTCAGGGTGTTTTCCTCACCCCGCTATCTACTCTGATAGGGGATTTTATTCCCCTCCTAATAAACTCTTATTTCTCCAAAAAATGTTGTCAGAAACAAATACATCTCTTCAAAATCTAAGTCATATATATAAATATATATACTCCTACATATTCCACCTCCCAGTAGAGCTTTGCTGGTTTGTCATTTTGCTATGCAGTAGTTTTCCAATGTAACAATCTTTGTTAGTTCATGTTAATCTTACACACAAGGCTATCATTGTACTCTTCCTTAGGCTATCTGTTTTGAAGTTTATCTGCACTCTTTCTTTTACCTTTGTATTGAGCCTTCACATCTGGTTTCATTTATGCGTTATTGCGAAAGGAACCTTTCCCTCCTAAGGAAGTAATATGCCTTTGAATGTTATCCTAACCTAAACCAGATGCAAAGGCTGGAATACCAAAGAAAGAGTGTGCAAGTAAGGTCATAAGCATGTCAAAACAGACTTCTCAGGCAAATGAAGGGTTATTAGGATCTTAAAAACCTGACACCCAGGGCACCTGATACTAAGTAAGGTCTTTATAGGTGAAGACAAATAGTAGTTTCAGTAGTGTTTTTGGCTCAGCCTCTCCTTAACTTCCTTTCTCTGTATTCTTTCCATGACATTCTTGCCAACATAGCTTGTAGACTCTCCTCTTTTCCTGTGGAGAGGTATGTTTTGGGGTTACAATACCCACAACTGACTGGACAGTTCATTTTGATGTAATCTGAATTGGGCCTGTCATTGGCACACATCCAACGAAAGAGTCTGCACACTGAGTGATGTCGGTTTAGACAAGCTTTTGAAAGTAAAAATAAATGTTACATGAATATTAAGTGGAGGATTGCTGCCGAATGTTTTTTCCTTTTGTCCTTCCCTCCCCAGCCCCCTCCCCTAGGGACTTTTGACTTGTAACCAATCTTCCTTGGCAAATCAACATGGACAGACAGATAGTGACCAAAGGAAATAGAGGGACTGCTCACAGTCTAGTGAATACAACTAATTAGTCTAGATGCAAAGTTTACCTATTTCAGACCACATGTCTTTCCCAAGAGTATCATTACTTTGTTTAAGAATTGTGCATGGGAAGACATATGGATATATGAATGAAACTCAAAAAAAAAATCTTATTCCCTAAGGAATGACATGTGGTCTGAAATGGGTAAACATAAATAATTTGGTCTATTTGAATTGAAAACTAGGGTGTGTCAAGGGCCATTTGGTATCTGAACCCCACCCTCTCTCCTCCTGCTCAAAATGGGAAACGACATCAGTCCACTATTAGCCATTTGGATGTTGAGGAAAAACTGGGCCGAATGGGCATTGCAATGCATTGTGGGGGCATATTTGATGGCAGCTATTCCATCCCCTAAACAATGTCAAGATGTACTACAGTGCCAACTCAACCCAGTTTTTTTTTTCAACCCGAGAATAGCTTATATTGCAAACTGAGTCCACCATGGTGCAAGTCATTTTTGTTCTGAAGGGGTAAATGAGGGGGGTAAAATGACAGTGTGTTTACTTACGTGGGCATCCTTGGCCACGTGGTCCAGTAGCCCTACTCACTCTATCCCAGCAACATCCATAGAGAGTACGGCTGCACTTGATAGGTGGAGCATGTGCTCTTCTGGAACCTCCTTCTGATAACATTCAAGTCATGTGTAAATATACCGACAACAAACCCCAGTAATCCACTACTAGTAGAGCAAACGAATATTGTTTTATTCCCATACAGGGCATTACATGTGGGTAGAGTTTGTTAGGTCTCTCCCTTTATCCAAGGTTTTTCTCTGATACCCCTCCTCCCCTCCTTTGAGAAACCCAACCTGCTTTTTGAATATTGGCTATTTATTATAGCCTGGGTTGCAACCCAAAATAGTTGGGGGTGGGGCGGATGCGGGAAGGGGACTCTTCCTATTTCCCCTAATCCCCACCCCTCCCCCCAGCCCCATCTCTTTAGGCCACAATGGAGGCTAATTTATCGTTACCTTCTGGACATAATCCACAGGTTCCTCTGCATTTAGTTTGAGCTACTAATCTGATGCGAGTATTTTTCGATAAACATATTCGTTCACCAAAATTTTTCTTCATCTTGACACATTCTTTTGCCCACGATGGCTTGTCTTCACAAGGTTCTGGAAACAAAAAATGCCAACAATATATTATCAATTATTTATTCGTGATTTTTTWAAATTATTATTATTATTCTGTATTTCCCAATGCTGGTTTCTGTAACCGCCATCTTGGCTGGACAAACCATTTTCGAGTTTATATTGGCCGTTCCCTGAGCTCGAGTAAAAACAGGGTCGAATTGGAATTGCAGTGCATTGTGGAACTGTTTTAGGGGACGATAGACACCATCTTGGAAATATGTCCCCTAAGACAGCTTCACAATGCAATGCAATGCCAACCATTTTTTTCCTCTCGGGATGGTAAGCCTGTGTTCCACAACTATAGTATCCTACATGTCCACCATGTCTTTTGTTATTTCATCGGAGGGAAACTTATCGCTCGGCATGAACTATCTTATGATTCTGGTCAATCGCAGTGGCGAAAATCCAAACTGTTCAATGCTTTTTTGTTCATAGGTGTCTGCTCTAACGACAGGGTCTTAGTACCCAGAAAAAGACTGTAGGCCTTTACTTTGTAAAGCGCATTGAGTCAATGTGAAATGCGTTATACAAGAACCCCATTATTATTATTATCGTCATCATCATCATCATCATTTTTATTATTATCATTATTCCCTACACTTAGGAAGCCTATACGAGTCGCATGTGCACGAAACTTTTCTTACGGACGTGAAGGCAATTTATATTCTTTACAGCCATTCTCAATCACACGCGCCCTCTAGCGATTGTTTCTGTCGCGACGAAGAAGCTTTTCGTGGACGTCAATCAAGAGGTTTCCATGACATTCTAGACACGTGCCCTTATAGCTTTGTGTTTTCCGACAATGTTATGGAAACGCCTTGTGATTGACGTCCACCAAAACCTTCTTCGTCGCGACAGAAAAAATCACAAGAGGGCGCGTGTGATTGAGAATGGCTGTAATTCACCCAGTCCACGCACCAAGGCGTGCGCGCCGCACCAAGCGGCCTCGATAGACCTGTGTACCTTGAGTGTTCGGACGCAAATGCAACATTTTCAAAGGAATGACACGTGGTCTCAAATGGGAAAACAAACGCCTAAGTTTATTAATAGAATTCTTTCTGGCTGACAGCACATGTTGGTCAGTCTTGGACCACCATTTGTAGCAGATAATGATCGAGATTGTAAGACGTTTACCAACTGATCGAAACACAGCAACACGCAAAGCATCAAACTTTAAAAATCTTATCTGGATGAGTAAAATAATTGCGTTTTTTTTTTTTTTTTTTTTTTTTTTTTTTTTTTTTGATTTTGGATTCTTAATTATGAAAAATAATATAGAAAAGCATAGTTAATGTTTCTCTAGGAACTATAAAGTATATAACTACAGACTACGTAAATGAATCCAAATAATTCGCGTTCTATTGGCTAACTGATCTCGTAACTCATTGCTAACTTATAAGACATAAAAGCGTTTAAAATCCAATCAAGAACTGAAAACTCGTGTGTCACGGCAGAAGAATAAGCGATGATTACAAGTCTGGCGATATACTCAACAAATACGCTCCAGCAGAATGCGCTTTGCTACTCATACTTTTGTGTAAAATTGCACAATCTCTGCGGTTTATTCGCGGCTCCGAGCAGCAGTACGCCAACGCAGTTGTCACTGACGCCCGCATAGTCAAATGGTTTCCCATTTCCTGAAGTCTTTTCAACGAAGTATAACATATGGTGAAAGTTTGGCTATAGAAAGATTGCACCTTCCTATAGCTTTCTTTTCTCCGCTGTTCGCTTGTGACTTATAAATCTGTTCAAAAAGGTTTTAACTGTTAAAGATGTGTTTTAAACAAATTTGAGTGAACCGCAACTTTTGGTCTATGGTCATGCGCAGGACGAGTCGCGAGTACAAGGTCACGTGGGAAGCGCAAAGTTCATTTTGATTTCCGCCAAGCGACGCTCTCAGGAAATTGCTTTCCTTTAGACTTTTATAATCTTTTATTTACTTCACTGTTTGTTAATACCGTGTGAGCCCTTAGGCACATATACTGAGCCGCCGATTTTTAACAAGCTAAGATCACTTGAATCTCTAAACTAAACCAAGTCACTCCGATTACTAGAAAAGAAAGATAGACTCATTGATACGTTTGAAATAGGTCCTGTCTTGAGAGAGAATTACAAACTCTTGATAATTCGTAAGATAACAAAAAATCGGCTGATCTGATCAATGAGGTCATTATTAAAGACGATATGATACTGCTTGGATATAAAGCAGCCTTTATGTTATCGCAACCTCAAGTTGCCTACATGATTAAGATTTTCGCCTCAAAATAAGGGCTTTTGGTCATTCTTTCACGTAGTGCCAATTTGTTTTTAGCGTTTGATTATTGCCCATTCGAGATCACGAGGCAAGACCTGAATTACCGGGTATGAAAAAAGCTACTCTGAAATACACTGTATTCAGTTTCCTTAAAGAATGATGATGATTTCCCAGTGCTTACATCTGTTTGCATTCGCACAGGTCTACTGTCTTATAGTCTTGTTACAGGGTTCGTGCTACTCCTTGAAATCCTTGAAAAGTTCTTGAATTGAAAACACGTTTTTAAGGGCACTTGAAAAGCTCTTCAAAATAGGGAAAAACGCCAAAACTCCTGGAATACTCCTTGAATTGAATGCAAACTTAATGCTATTTCTAACTTTCCTTTTGAAATAAATAACGATTAAAATTGATTGAAGAGTTTTCGTATATTTTGTAAATAGCCTAGCTGAATATCTTGGTACTTTTGGTAAGAATGCGTAAATTAAAGATCTATTTATCTAAGCTAGTGGCCCCGGCTGAATTAGCTGCACTGTAACATTCAATCAATGTTTAAACCACGTTCTAATGCAAAAAACYTWGTCCTTGAAAATCGAATTTTTGTGCTTGAAAAGTGCTTAAAAAGTCCTTGAATTTTGTAACGAAAATGTAGCACGAACCCTGTTAGATCAGTGGCGCATAATAAAACGGGCCCCAGTATTCGAAGATATGAAAATAAATTGTATCACATCAATTGTATAGATAAGTCATCCATAATGGCCGCGAAGAATATAATTTTGCGCGAGTCCTAAAAAGTTATGTTGCAACAATTTTTTTCCTCCGCGCAGTCGGCAAGAACACGAAAAAGAGTGCGTGTAAAAGTTTTGACTGAAGACTGCCCATTTCTTTACTTTAAAAAATCTTTTAAAATACCGTACTCGAACTCGGCATTTCTGAAGATGACACTTGTCGAAAAAGTTCAAAACTTTTAACAGGCTCTTACTTTTGCCTATATATTTTGAAAAGTTCTTATCAGCGATTTTCTGAAGTTGCGACAGAGTCTGATGACTTTATCTTTAAGATTTGACGGTCACTTTGCAGGTCAGATAATATTAGATTGGTTATATCTCAATTATATTAATTAAAAAGCTAACCTAGCGAACCTGACCAATGCAATTAAATTTGATGATTGAGCTGGAATATTGCCGCAAATGCTTCCTAAAGAATCAAAGGAAACTACTGCCAAAATCAAACGACCAAAAACGTAACATTTATAAAGCGCACTTTCTCAGTATATGGATATAATCAAAGGCGCTTTACATTGTAAATGTCAGATCGCTTTTTATACAATTTACAAACATGAGAGATGGTTAGTATGAGTGTAGGCACTAAGGGTGGTCACTGCCAGGACGGTTTTTCTTTACGTCCTCAGTGGTTCTTTTCAAATCCATCCAAGTCCTCATGAGGGAGTGAAAAATCTATGTATCGCGGAACGTTGCCTAAATATTGGACAGTTGAAGTTTAGTCTTACAAACCCCTCGAAATCCACCACTCCGTTTAGTCAACGCCTTAGTGACCATGATATCTACAACGACTTGAGAAATCTAATGTATCGCGGAACGTTGCCTAAGTATTGAACAGTCGAATGTCAGTCTTACAAACCCCTCGAAATCCACCGCTCCGTTTAGTCAACGCCTGAGCGACCATGATATTTATAACGACTTGGAAATACTTTTGGCTTGCCCGGCCAGTCAATACGCGCGACGAAATGAATTGATTAAACTCGATTAATCCAACAGAAGGGCTGTAGCAGTAATAACTGATGACTGGACCGTCAATGGAGTTGACAGTAGAAGTAGAATCTAGAAGGTCAATATATAGAATGCCATGTTTTATCCCCTTATTTAATTAAAAAACCCTAAAAAATTAATGAAAGTTTCCAAAATCGTCAATCAGAGTATTCCATACTGAAACTTTTTCTTGAAAATTGTTGGTTGAATTTTTGAATGAACACTGAGCTCTTTCACTTTCAGCCAAAAGATAATCGGACTTCTTTACAAGATTAAATATGAGCATGCTATGTTACAAAATTATTTGGAAAAACTAAAGATTCTACTCTGAGTTTCTGAAATTTTTATTCTGAACTAGAAACCGGAATGTAAGCACACCGGACACTGGTTCTGTTAGTGGTTAAATAGGCCATTTTCGAACTGTCTTCTACAGCGTCTGAATATTCACAAATACCAACGGCAAAGTAAAGAATGCACAACTTCAACAATACAAACACTTTGAAATTCCACGGACCTTCACTGGAACACATGAATATTCTACACAAAATCTAGGCTAGCCATGAGCAACAGAGTATTTTAAGGAGGCTTAGTCGCCGTTTTTTTTTTGAGAGTCGTTCTTTCCTTAGCCTGCGCTGCATCCGGAATTTTCTGTCATAACTTTACGAGTAAACGTTCGGAGGCAGGCAGGCTATTCTTTCCTACGCGTCACGCCGGAATTTCTTAGCACAAAGGGTGTCTGAGCTAAAGGCCTTCTTGGTAATAAAGAATTTACTTCTTTATTTTATCTACATGTACATCTCAGGACACCCGTCATGATAAAGTAACTTTCATTAGCTCTCTCTATTATTACCCTGAACATATATTATTTTCTGGATAATGACCAATAGTGCAAATCATATTTCCGTGAAATGGAAACGAAACCAACGAAAGAATTGTAAAAAAAGGGGAGTGTTTAGTGCTATTTATTGTCTATGCTATTTCATTGATATATATGGTTTGCACTCTCATGCTCATTAATAGTCGAGAAACAAACACTTGCGCTTGCCCGTCGTGAATAACGTTTAAAAATGTACAGCTCTCAGCGCGTTTGTAATTGTTGCATTCTTATAACTTCCGTACAGACTTGTCCCGCAGAAAACCGACCCTTCCATTCATAAGGACATGCAAGTCTACGTTTTCCAACCGCGAATTTAAAACCTAGATTGAGCTGCAAATGGACCTCAAGCCACAGGGTAGCCCATTCAAGAGTCTCGTACAGAATGGAAGAAATTCTTTATCCTACAGGGAGCCACTACCCAACTGTTCGTGGATCGTATTGTATGATAAGTGTTTGAGGAAAAAATCTCGCTATTACTTTCCTGTTTGATCTTTTTTTTTCTTTCTACGACCAAATTAGTCGTGTTTTGTTTAGGTAATGTTAGAGTACATACCATATATCCGTGAAAAAGTTTGTAAGAAATTTCCGGCAAAGATTTGTACAAATAGCGCAGCGCACTTATTCTAAAAAYAGCTTAAAGATTCGGACAAACATTGCATTCTGTTTAACCGCTACGAGGATTATACGAACCGATTTTATTATTTTTACTTAAAGTTACAATAATAACCCATGTAAACTAAGACCAACTGCGATCGGCTGTGAAAATTGTCTGCTGAAAGTAAACTTGTAAGTTTGTTTGTCCGAATTTCGCCTTTGTCTTCGTTTTTATGACGTCACGGTTGCGCTGCGCTATTATTAAGTCTAGTAGACCTCAGTAGACCGTAGACCTACAAAACTTTGAACCAATTTGTACAATTTTGTCAGTTAACGTTTTCACGGATATATGGTATGCACACTACTACTATGTTATAAAACTGACCAACATTATGGGTGATARTCGCGAATGATGAAAAACGATAAAGGTTTTAAGGTACGAAGCCACGGTACTGATTCCAGGCTGCAGTCTAATAAAAGGTAGCCTGCGCGTAGCAGCCCAAATGCGCCGCTACGCAAGCTAGAGAAATGGATCCTGTTCAGCAATTATTTTAAAATGCATAAGTCGACATTAATTAAACACGTTAAATATCAGGGACTTCAATGAGAAAGAAAATAGCGAACAGGATGTCTCGATTTGTTTGCTTTACAAGGTTTTTAGCACGCGCAGTTATGTTGTCTGATACTGATGGGGTTATGGCCTGCAGAGATGATTATCACTGAAGGGGTGAATAAGGGCGGCAATTTTAACTGACAGAAGTAATCAACGTGCAGAATTGTAACATATCACTTCATCTATTCTGTATGCGTCAATCCTGCGTCCGTCATTCTATACATCTATCAATCTATAGCTACAATCCTGGACAAAAGTCATTGGGACACTTGAAAAGTCAACGCTAAATTTTTTAATATTGTCTTAATATCCATAATTTCTCAATGTTTATACGCCATTTCATCTCTATGAAGCTCGCCCCCCCTCCCCCAACTCAATGTTGGTCAAACCACACATCATCGCAAACGCCCCGTTTGCCCCAACATTAAATTCGGGGGGGGGGGGGGAGATAACAATTTCATGTAATTTATGTTGCTGTCCCAATACCTTTGTCCAGGATCGTAGATCTGTCCATCCATCCATTCTTCCATTTGTCTGTTCACAATCGATGCATGCGATCTAGATGCCAACAGCACATGCAAGTAACCCATCCCAGACTCACTAACTCTGGTTTGTTTCTGTTTAAAATAAATTAAACCTCCAAACAGACAACGTTAACTGATTACATCAAGTGTTCGTTTCTGGGAAGAAAACTGACATTCTAATTATATTACAGTTAATTTACTCACTAAGACAAACAGGCAAATGAGATTCTAGTGGTCATCGTGGCACTTCTACTCGGTGATAAAGACATAGTCAACTACACGATTTGTCTTCGGCTTATCCGACTCAGTATCCTTTTAAAAATGTTGATTTGCTGTTGAAGCAGACGGTATGTTCTCCGTCTTTATCAACGACGTTGTCTGGTATCATCGGTATAACGGATAACTAAACAACAAAACAAAGTGCAAAAGAAGTGGAAAAGTAAATGGGAAAAAGTATGTGTGTTTTTTTCCTTCCTAAAGTCGGTTCTGGGATATAAAAATGTACTTTTCGCTTTGAAAACGGACCTTAGCTTAACGGCCTCGGTCCGTATACTCAAAACCTTGGGCAAAGTGTTTTCTTAGGTTATATAACCTCTATGTAAAAAAAACCCAGTTTCATGCGGTTGAATCAAACAGACATTTGATCAATGAAATAACTACCCAAGTTTATGCAAGATGGAAATAGTAGGCGTTTGCTCGTGCCCCAGCTCGTCTGAAAAAGCAGTTACATTCGGTATTTGACAGCAGGAAACCGACCCTGATGACCGAGTTGGCTTGCGTATCACAGTATGTATTTCTATATACTCTCTCAACACCGAGAGTAGTCAAACAAAGTTTTTTCAGTAACTGGAAAAACCTAGATATAAGATCTTGGCACGCGCGCAATATTCGGGAAATTTAAAAAYTCAATTGCTTTTTCCTTGAAATTTTTCCCCGTATGAAACGCTCGACATACAAAACACAGTAGCGTGGCAGACACTCTCTGTACAACTAGAACAAGCTATATAGATCATGGTTGCGCGTAATCTACATCAATAAATATTATATTTGTTCTTGTGTTTAAAGAAAATGAATTGTAGAATTATTTGGCACCAGACTAGGAACTAGTTACTTGTTATATACTACGTAGCTAACTTTAGATTTCGGTTTTATATAATGAAGATATTTCAATTCCGAGACTAGTCGTCGGCGCTCACGAACATATATCGATTATCATACGTCAATGTTTCCGAGTCCCCTCATAAGCAATGACAATGTATTGTTTTTGCTCTATGCAGTAAGAATCGATGTACTACTTAAAGGATTGTGGGGGAAAATGACGTAACAAGCGAGACTATGGGAGAATAATGAGCTAGATCTCGTTAACTAAATACCTTGCAATGTTATCGCCGCGGCTGTTTATTGACTTAAACGATACTAATCAGAGAGCTAAAATGGCTTCTTATTCATTAGAAGCACGTCTAGAAAAATCCCGTCAAAATTTGAAGTACCAAAAAGTATTCTTTTAGAAATATTCATTCAGTGATATTCATACTTATTATTACCTCTCGTCCGAATCCAGAAAAGTCTTTGATTGATAATAAAGAATTTGTACTTTCTAAGAGCGTTTTGGACATGCGTAGAGATGTGAGACACTTTTACATGACTTAACGACTGTCCACGTATATGATTGACTCGCGAGTTCCAATCGATATACTCTCGTAAGATTTTAAGCCATCCTGAGCCTGTGAGCAATTAGCCTTCCTGTTTCACTTGTAAGCTTGAGTTTTATCCCTGAAGCGGGTTTATACAGATAGATATTAGCAGGGTTCGTGCTACATTTTCGTTACGAAATTCAAGGACTTTTTAAGCACTTTTCAAGCACAAAAATTCGATTTTCAAGGACAAAGTTTTTTGTATTAGAAAATGGTTTAAACATTGATTCAATGTTACAGTGCAGCTAAGTCAGCCGGGGCCACTAGCTKAGATAAATAGATCTTTAATATACGCATTCTTACCAGAAGTACCMAGATATTCAGCTAGGCTATTTACAAAATATACGAAAACTCTTCAATCAATTTTAATCGTTATTTATTTCAAAAGGAAAGTTAGAAATAGCATTAAGTTTGCATTCAATTCAAGGAGTATTCCRGGAGTTTTGGCGTTTTYCCCTATTTTGAAGAGCTTTTCAAGTGCCCTTAAAAACGTGTTTTCAATTCAAGGACTTTTCAAGGATTTCAAGGAGTAGCACGAACCCTGTATTAGAATACCCGGCACCAGATGAGAGGAGATACCATGTCGATGATTTAATGAATAGGTTTTTCCGGAAGGAGGTTCGATGTTAAACTCCAGGTCTCACGCAAAGCGTTCTCTAGATGCCCCAAGACTCTGGACGTACCACGCTATCTGAACTTTCGACGCCCTAGCACAGACCTTGCAAGAAACTCCCATGTATTGCACCGCGTTTGGCAGAATTTACGCATCTTGTTATCGAAACCACTTTCTTAGTACATTAAAAATGATTTAGTTCTAAATCTAAATTCCTTGTGGATTATCTTGTCGATTGAATCATTTGACACTAAACTCCAATAGATATGCGTAAAGGAATCATGTTATTTAAAACGAACGCCTTGAGAGAAAAAAGTTATTTACCAAAAATCTTCAGTGCAAAAATTCTCGAAAACCCTTTTCCAAAAACTCATATTTTCCTTCATTCATGGTGAACAATCCTTCGCGGTTCCGTGGCTTCTTTAGACAGCCTAAAACGTCCAATAAATAAAAATTTTGCACAAACTTACCTCCCGTAACTGTTATCGCTGTTGCGAAAACCAGAAACACTACACAAGCGAACATCTGCTTTGTCGCAGACATCCTTGAACGATTTGTTGGTTGACACTGTTTCTCTGTTGTAATATCTACGAAGACTGGTTCAATATGAGGAGGTAGGGTTACGACCAGTCGCTTTATAAAGGCGGKACTATTTAGTAATGCGCTGTTGGTATGTAAGCCAACCCATAACCCAATCCAAGACCCACGACCATCCTAAGTAAGGGTCATAACTAGACAGTTTGTTATCAAATTCCAAGAATAATCGAAAGCGGAATCCACCCTATTTAGCTGTTCGCTCTATATACGTACATATATGAATATGCAGCTTACCAATTATGGAATAGTTTTCTAGATTTCTGTTTCGGATACCTTTGCTCGTTATGTTAGTAACTTGTTCAGCGCAATTTGTTGGGATGTTCAATATAGGTGCGCGATATCCAGCCGTCTCCTAGTTTTTTATACAAGATATCTCCTGCTTTGGAGGTTGGCTCTTGTGTGAAATAGTAGAATACATTTTGCATGGGACCGCATTAAATTAACAACACTGCTTGGTTTAAATCTGAAGATCTAACACAGCGCTTACGAATCCTACTACAACATAAATGTCTAATCGAATAACAGATCAATCGTTCAAGACACGTGTTATACGTAAGGAGCAAAATCAGCCCACGGATCAAGAAACGCTTTCACTACTCCTTTACATCGGAGCTCTGGTTCAAAATAAAATACTCAATAAGCCAGAGATTGTGAGCAAGCTCATTCAATGAAGAAACAGAAGTTACAAAAGAAATGACAGCTTTGCTCTTAGCACCAATACCTTTGACGATTCTATCCGGCGTACGACGCACACTTCACTAGGAACTGCTATTTTGATACACTCTAGAAAAAAAAAAAAAAAAAGCCAGCATTTTCCCCCCTCCCCACGAAAAAAATCTTCAGAACTCAGCTTGGGAGTTAGTTGAAGTAGACCAAATGCAAGACTGGATAGCGGAGACCAATCTAGCAACATTTTTCCATCCAAGAGATTTGCGATGCTACTCGTTTTTTTTTTTGCTTTTCAAACCTTCGTGAAATGTCAAATATTTCTGGGCTCTTCATTTATAGATTGATTTAGAATGACTTGCTCAGCAAGGCGCTTAAGTGAGTATTAAAAATAATCTTCTTCACTCTAATTCCTTAAAAGCGTTCAAGAATCTGTTGTAATTCTTCAAACAAAAAAGGGTTATCACTCACGAGTCCATTCCATTGTTCCTGCTTACTCAAAATTAAGTCCTTGGAATGGTTACAGATAATATTTGATAACTGATAATTTAATTCTTATATTGCGCGTGTTACATAGGAAGATGCTAAGTATAAAGATATAAATTATGATCTATACATGCCATGTAGGCCCGTTGCATCAGCCCCAAAGCAGCGCAACCAGGAGGGTAAGCAACAAACTGGCCATAAGACAAGACAAACAATCGGAGTAATTTTTAGCTGTATATTAACGAAAAAAGGCTAAAATAGAATAACGCTGTCTGACTTCGACCTCCTATCGTGACGAACTAAAAAACTTTATTTGGATTTTGAAGAGAATTTTCTGGAAGAATATTATGACGTCAGTGAAAATAACTGATTTCGTTAGAACCTAAAACTGCAATGGTTTTAAAAGTCATGCATGTTTGTCTTGAAATAGACATTATTATTTGTATTATGGCGGACAGAAACGCAGGCCCTACATTTTGCCTAGCACTTTATCTAATAACAGAAACGTGGATCAATCCGGCATGCACAATGGCCGGAGACGACCTGTGTTTAGTGTATAGTTATAGGGAAGAGAAGTCAAATTTTGAGGCATTGTTAAATGTTGTTCTCTGTCATAAAAGACACTGATTGTACTACGCTTTTCATCTTCCTTATTTCCAACTCAAGGAATGCTAATGCTTAACGCAACCACACAGAATACATTACGATAGAGGATCGATTTATTGTTTTTTCCACGCAAATCTACATATTAAACGTCACGATAATAAGACTACAACACCCTGGCACCCGAATGATACGGAAAAACATATCTTGCTTAGTTAATGCCTGGCATCTTCGCGGCCGGCAATGAAAACATGGCTCGTAATCCCCTCCAAAAACAAACTTTATATTCAGAGAAGTAAGATCAATATTGACTTAGGTGTAATTCTATCATTCTGGCTATCTAAGGATTCCATAGCATAAGCTCTAATCATTTTGTTATGTAATTTTCTTATGCTATGCTCTAAGTAGTCTCTCAGTGGTTGGTAGAAACCCGTCTGATTTCAGAGTGATAGCGGAACTTCTACATTGATACTTTGAAACAATACGTCTGTAGGTGCTCTGAGGGGGTTGAATATTGATAATGATTGATGAGACTTCCACAGTCAAAACATATTAGTAAACATGATCAGATAGTTGGTATATGGTTACTACCTTAGAGAGTAAGCCTGCATATCGTGCGGGGAGTTATATAGCTAGCCGACATGCGTAAGTCAACGCCATACGATCCCCCCATACATGAATCTTACTCTCATGCGACATCAGTAGCAACATTCCAACGAAAGAAAACAGGATGCTCGTTATTTAAAAGTTAAATGCCCTAGTTAGTTGATTGAAATCAATTGCGCGTTGAATGTTCTGCGCATCTCTATTGCGCATATTACTTTGCCTTGCGCCTCGTCTTATAGGTGCAGTCTTCCCGAGTGTCGCCAATTTGTAACAACGTTTGTGTTCATAAGGACTGCTTCTTACAGCGGTCATGACAGAACGGGAGCGTTTACGATTGTGCGCAGCTAAAAATACAAAGTAAAATAAACCTGTAAGATCTGAGTCAGCAGATCGCAGTCCATTAGTTGTCAGTCCAAACCCTGCAAGGACAAGTAGTTTTCTCATAACATGTCAAACCCCTGTGATCCATAATGATATTCAAACAGCGAGAAAAATTATATATCATGCTATTGTTTTCGACCCTCAGCAGGCAGCATGTTTTTCTGTTCTTTTTTCTTATCCCCTGCACAGGTACAAACTATTTAACAAGATAAAAGGATAATCTGGTTTAGATTAGTTGAATCTGGCTTATTTTTCTATGAGAAATTGCACGGAACTGATTTCATAGGTCTGAGATCAGACCGAAACGAAAATTTCTCTTAAAATATTTGGAAACTAATGTAATTCAATTGCATGGACCCTGGTTGCAACGTTCTAAATTTCAAAAATATAAGGCTATTATTTTCAAACACACGTCGCGTTTTTTTTAATGATTGTCTTTCAGGCGCCTCATGGGAAGGTAGAGAAGTGAAATCGTTCATGCAATGTCACACAGGAAATATTTTTTACTCATAAGTTCCCCCATGCTTATATACACCTAAAATAAATGGCTCAGTTAAGGCTGGTTTAGACGGTACGATTTTTGCCTACAACTATCGTATACAACACGCTCGCGTCTGTCGTAGGCGAGTTGTAGGCTTGATTTACACGCTACGACTCGAGTTGTAGGATGGCGCGACCGTGTTGTATACGATAGTTGTAGGCGAAAATCGTACCGTCTAAACCGGCCTTTAGAAGTTCTAGTTAGAGAATTTTAATTTCCTTATGATCTTACTTGACTAAGATTTAGTCTCTCTTTTTAAGCGGTATCATTCCAAAAGAAATTAGTATTAAATGAGATAAATTATCTCAATAAAGATGTTTCCGGTTTGGCCTTCAAAAAATCAAGCTCATGGGTGCGAAAATTAACTCAGTACAGGCAAAAATGTTTGGAATATTCAAAGTATCTATTAAACACTTTTGTAAGACTAGAGTTCCAATTTACTTTCCTCTAACATGTGCCGGGGTACCGGTTTCACTGTTTCACAATCCTGCCCAAGACTTGAGGTGAAAGAGGTAGGCTTTCGTGGATAGCGATACTAAAGGACATACAGTAGAAAAAATCGGGGCAAGTTTGCTAGGACAAAGAATCAAATGATTATCAATGTGAAGTCGGCTGTCCTTTATTTTAAAATTTGCTACATATGGTGGGAGTTCTATTTAAAAACCTCTCCTCTCGCTGAGAAGTACAAATAATTAGGAACAGATTATGGAACGCRCCCCCAACATGAACACTTATAGCTGCACGACTGATAAATGGCTTCCGAGCATTGTCGCGAGCTGTTTCTTTGGGATTTGATTAGTTCAGACAAATTTGTCAAAGTTTAACCACCAACTAAATCAGACGATTTGCCTTTTAATTCTTGTTGTGTGATTGGTTTAGACCCGGGTTTAGACCTGATCAGACAGGGCGGAAGGTATTTTGAGTGTAATTAGATGAGACACTGATACAGCACGTTTATAAGAATGCTACAAAAGTCATCCTTGCTTTATCGCTTCCTTGCTTCCTTGCTTCCTTGCTTCCTTGCTTCCTTGCTTCCTTGCTTCCTTGCTTCCTTGCTTCCTTGCTTCCTTGCTTCCTTGCTTCCTTGCTTCCTTGCTTTTTCAGCTGACTTTCCTTGCTTACGAAAAGCTATTTTGGGTAAAGGAAGAAAGTGTTTACAGAAAAAGTTTTCCCCTAAATTCTGTAAAGTGGTGCTACCGGAGTTTTAGTGTGTGCAGCGCATGTTTGCTTGTCATAAAACAATGGCATTTTAAAAGCAAAAACTGTTATTTTTACCGAAAAGTTCAGTAGCCACAAGGTTAAATAGCTTGGATTTATTAATGTCAAAAAATTCATGTGTTGAACAAATTCAAGCCAGATGCTATTCGAAGCAAGACGGCTGTTAAGATTCTACACTGTAAGGCAAGTTTGCGGCAATTCTCAGTTTTTCCCTTACTTTCAACTCCGAAAGCATTTCTACATTATCTTTATCGATCTATACACTCAATCGTACAACCTTTATCTTATAGTCGGAAGCAATATACCTATATTCTTATCTCGTTCTTCTGATAACTCCTCAAAGGTAATATGGTTGATTATTTTGAGGTATGTAATTTCATTTTCGTTTCATTGGCGTTGTATTTCTTTTCGTAACGAAGGAATTACCCTCCGGGTATTTGCGGTATGATCGAGAGGTTATAACACCTTCCAGATCTACTAACATGTATAACGGAACGCTAACAAGAAACATTTTCTTATTTCAGACCCCTCCAGCGTTACTCGGTTAACTGTTCCACATGAGAAGACAGTCACATGA